GGTGATGATGACGATGGTGATGATGTTGATGACGGTCGTGATGGTGATGATGATGTTGGTGATGACGATGGTGATGACGATGGTGATGATGGTGATGATGGTGATGATGATGACGGTCGTGATGGTGATGATGATGTTGGTGATGACGATGGTGATGATGTTGATAATGACGATCGTGATGGTGATGGCAATGATGTTGGTGATGATGATGTTGGTGATGACGACGGTGGTGACGGTGATGATGATCCTTGCCAAGAATGAAGAATGGAGTGGCATGCAAGCAATGAATGGAACGCGTCCGATATCAATTAAACTATGTTGTGTTTTGTATTTTACCAGGTAAGGCCCCACTGGGTCTACGTAGCTCTTCATCGGAGACGCAAACCTGGCCACACAAACGATAGCTCAACGAAGTGGCTGATCTCATATCATGTGGAAATTCACAGCGGGCAAATATTCCCCCAAAAAATGTGTACGTGCCCACGGTGAGAGAGAAAGAGAGAGAGAGACATGGCAATCTCAAAATATACAGCGGCAGGCGTCCAGGGGTTCGGGCTCAAAGCCACGGCCTCCTCCTGTATAGCAGGCGAGGGAGATAACATCTCCTAGCCACCGTTCCGCCCCCGCTATTATTACGCTGTGACATTGACGGCTCGAACGCCACATGTACCCGATTGCTACCGCGATTATTACAATTATTATTATTTCGGATGCGAAGACGGAACGGCAGTGGAGAGAAGACGGCGCAGCCGTGGAGAGGCGAGCAGGGTGGCGACGAAATCGCGTGGATGTGTACGCAGGAGATGCGATGTTTCTGGTCGCCCCACTCGTCACACACGCGCGCGCACAAAGTGCTCGCCGCAAATGAACCACAGTCACCTCGCTGATCTTCTCGTCAAAGAGCGCAAACCATCACGCGGGATATCCCGGTCACACGTTTGCAGCGGCGTTTTGGCTGCTCGCCGTCGAAACAAAGGCGGCGGTCACCGCATCGCGCGCTCGCAGATGCACTTCCGCGGCCGTCTGGAACGCTCTTCCTAACGACATTAGATTTAAATCGAATTTCTTTCGCACCGCTCTTTTGAGTGCGTTTAGTTTGTTGTCCTTCCCCTCCTGCCCCCCTGCACCTCTTTATAAGCACGGTTGGCTAAGTACGGTGTGAAAGAAGTTCAACATACAGACAGTTGATAGAGTCTGCAACGACGAGAGGGGTTCTGTGAGAGCGTTGGTGACGTTTTGGTTTTCCTTCAGTTGAAAGAGCGCAGACTACAGTCGGTGGACCAACCAGTTCATGGTGTGCGTTGCATTTATGGGTCTCTATGGGTCTCGACGGGTCTCTGTGTCTATGTGCATTTCTATGGGTCTTTGTGTCTGTGTATTTCTATGGGTCTTTGTGTCGGTGTATTTCTATGGGTCTCTGTGTCTATGTGTATGTCTATGGGTCTCTGTGTGTCTATGTGTATCTCTATGGGTGTCTGTGTGTCTACGTGTATCTCTATGGGTGTCTGTGTGTCTACGTGTATCTCTATGGGTCTCTGTGTGTCTACGTGTATCTCTATGGGTGTCTGTGTGTCTACGTGTATCTCTATGGGTCTCTGTGTGTCTACGTGTATCTCTAAGGGTCGCTGTGTGTCTACGTGTATCTCTATGGGTCGCTGTGTGTCTACGTGTATCTCTATGGGTCTCTGTGTGTCTACGTGTATCTCTATGGGTCTCTGTGTGTCTATGTGTATCTCTATGAGTCTCTGTGTGTCTATGTGTATCTCTATGGGTGTCTGTGTGTCTACGTGTATCTCTATGGGTCTCTGTGTGTCTACGTGTATCTCTATGGGTCTCTGTGTGTCTACGTGTATCTCTATGGGTGTCTGTGTGTCTACGTGTATCTCTATGGGTCTCTGTGTGTCTACGTGTATCTCTATGGGTCTCTGTGTGTCTACGTGTATCTCTATGGGTCTCTGTGTGTCTACGTGTATCTCTATGGGTCTCTGTGTGTCTACGTGTATCTCTATGGGTCTCTGTGTGTCTACGTGTATCTCTATGGGTCGCTGTGTGTCTACGTGTATCTCTATGGGTCTCTGTGTGTCTACGTGTATCTCTATGGGTGTCTGTGTGTCTACGTGTATCTCTATGAGTCTCTGTGTGTCTACGTGTATCTCTATGGGTCTCTGTGTGTCTACGTGTATCTCTATGGGTGTCTGTGTGTCTACGTGTATCTCTATGGGTCTCTGTGTGTCTATGTGTATCTCTATGAGTCTCTGTGTGTCTACGTGTATCTCTATGGGTCTCTGTGTATCTCTATGGGTCTCTGTGTATCTCTATGGGTCTCTGTATATCTCTATGGGTCTCTGTGTATCTCTATGGGTCTCTGTGTATCTCTATGGGTCTCTGTGTATCTCTATGGGTCTCTGTGTATCTCTATGGGTCTCTGTGTATCTCTATGGGTCTCTGTGTATCTCTATGGGTCTCTGTGTATCTCTATGGGTCTCTGTGTATCTCTATGGGTCTCTGTGTATCTCTATGGGTCTCTGTGTATCTCTATGGGTCTCTGTGTATCTCTATGGGTCTCTGTGTCTCTCTATGGGTCTCTGTGTATCTCTATGGGTCTCTGTGTATCTCTATGGGTCTCTGTGTATCTCTATGGGTCTCTGTATCTCTATGGGTCTCTGTGTATCTCTATGGGTCTCTGTGTATCTCTATGGGTCTCTGTGTATCTCTATGGGTCTCTATGTATCTCTATGGGTCTCTGTGTATCTCTATGGGTCTCTGTGTATCTCTATGGGTCTCTATGTATCTATGGGTCTCTGTGTATCTCTATGGGTCTCTATGTATCTATGGGTCTCTATGTATCTATGGGTCTCTGTGTATCTCTATGGGTCTCTGTGTATCTCTATGGGTCTCTATGTATCTATGGGTCTCTGTGTATCTCTATGGGTCTCTGTGTATCTCTATGGGTCTCTGTGTATCTCTATGGGTCTCTGTGTATCTCTATGGGTCTCTATGTATCTCTATGGGTCTCTGTGTATCTCTATGGGTCTCTGTGTATCTCTATGGGTCTCTGTGTATCTCTATGGGTCTCTATGTATATCTATGGGTCTCTATGTATCTATGGGTCTCTGTGTATCTCTATGGGTCTCTGTGTATCTCTATGGGTCTCTATGTATCTATGGGTCTCTGTGTATCTCTATGGGTCTCTATGTATCTCTATGGGTCTCTATGTATATATGGATCTCTGTGTATCTCTATGGGTCTCTGTGTATCTCTATGGGTCTCTATGTATCTATGGGTCTCTGTGTATCTCTATGGGTCTCTGTGTATCTCTATGGGTCTCTATGTATCTCTGGATCTATGTGTATCTCTATGGGTCTCTGTGTATCTCTATGGGTCTCTGTGTATCTCTATGGGTCTCTGTGTATCTCTATGGGTCTCTATGTATCAATGGGTCTCTGTGTATCTCTATGGGTCCCTACGATGTGTCTCGATGTATCTCTATGGGTCTCTGTGTATCTCTCGGAGTCTCTGTGGGTTGACGATATGGGTCCATGGTGGTGTGGGTCGTGCTTGTCCCGCGGAACCACTCAGCCCGGTGCCAACATTTCCCCCCCCTCCCCGTGATGAAACGCATTCAGCTTATCTCTCTAAATAGCAGTAAATATTACAATTAATCGTATTACCGGAACATAGACACTGTTTAGTTAGTGTTACGTAGCTTAAAGGTTTGGGGGTTTTTTTAATGGGTGGCGGTGGTTGGCAGTTAGATGTTAAAGTTTAGCGCAGTTTAATCCGGGTAGATTACCTAACTTCATTTTTTTTCACGATTAAATATCATTAAGTAAAATGTGAATGAATAATACCGTCAGACGAAAGGTTTAATAAGCGCCCCGCGGCAGCACCACCTGGGAGGGAAGTCGCGAAACCACAGCGGTTGTGTGGCCACCACCACCACCTCCACCACCTCCACCACCTCCACCACCCACCACACCCACCACCCACCACCTCCACCACCACCACCCACCACATCCACCACCACCACCAGCACCACCACCTCCACCACCACCTCCACCACCACTACCACCCACCACCACCACCACCACCAACCACCACCACCACCCACCACCTCCAGCACCACCTCCACCACCACCCACCACCACCAGCACCACCTCCACCACCACCTCCACCACCACCTCCACCCACCACCACCAGCACCACCCTCCACCAGCACCACCACCACCACCCACCTCCACCACCTCCACCAGCACCACCACCCACCCCCACCACCCACCAGCACCTCCACCACCACCAGCACCCGCCACCAGCAGCACCACCAGCACCACCTCCACCAGCACCACCACCATCACCCACCACCCACCACCATCTCCACCACCCACCACCATCTCCACCACCCACCACCCACCACCCACCACCACCAGCACCTCCACCACCACAAGAACCACCACCAGCAGCAGCAGCCACTCTGAATAAGCACTGGCGTCGACCTATGGTCCACCTCGCGAGAGAGCGAGAGGCACGAGAGAGATGAGAGAGATGAGACAAAGAAGGAGAGGCACACGAGAGAGAAGAGAGCGAGAGATGCACACGAGGGAGATGCACACGAGAGAGAGAGAGAGAGAGGAGAGAGAGCGAGAGATGCACACGCAGCAGATTCGGACCGCAGTCTTTGCGATGACGACGACGACAAACAACAACAACAGCGACCGATCTCTGCAGCTTGGAGAGCACGCGAGGAATTCCACCACGGCGAGATGATGGCGCGATGGAGCTCGTGCCATCAAAGGATGGAGAAGGTGAAGGGTTTGAGACGAGTTTGGAGGAATGGCTACTCAGTTATGACAGCCCGCAGCAAGGGAAATGAACGCCCCCCCCCCCCTCTGCACTCCCCCCAGGCCCCCACCTTACTAATTCACCGTTTCCAGGCCAGGTCCAGGGTCTCCGCATGCCGCACAGAGATTGCTGCCACTGGGGGTACCCCCCCTATGCTAGATCATACAGCGGTAAATATATATTTAATCATCGCCCCCTACTGGGGTGTAGCGTGCGGTGGGGTGGAGTGTGGTGGGTGGACAGTGGAGTGGGGTGTGGTGTAGTGTGGGGTGTAGTGTGGGGTGGGGTGTAATGTGGTGGGTGAACAGTGGAGTGTGTGGGGTGTGGTGGGGTGTAGTTTGGGGTGGGGTGTAATGTGGTGGGTGAACAGTGGAGTGTGTGGGGTGTGGTGGGTGTGGGGAGTGGTGGGTGTAGTCTGGGGTGTGGTTTGGAGCAGGGGAATCAGCTAAGCAGTGACCATGAGACGGTTTATATCTCTACACACGTGCATGCCATGCACGTGTGTGCACGCGCCCGTACACACACACACACGTGCATGCAGCTCTGCGTGCACGGCTGTATCTGCCTGCCCCGTGTACGCACGCCACGCGTCCTCCTCTAGCAGGGCGACGAGGTGACTTCTCCCGCGCCGCCCCGTGCCATCATGGCCAGGTAGTTGACCCCGAGGCGCCCGGCCGCGGGGTCAGACAAGCGGCGACTGGAGCCCCGGAACAAGCCCTGGACGGGCAGGGCGCTCCCCACGCGGCCGGGAGGTTCCCCGGCGGGCGAGTCCGGCTCGGGAGGTCCCCAGCTCGGCGGGGAGCTGTGGGAGCGACCCCAGGGCGAGGCTGACCCCGCGGTCGCGATGGTGCCCGGGACGACGACGCCGCCGCCGCCGGCTGCGGTGGCGGCGAGCCCCTGGGGGGATGCCGGGGACGAGGGTCGCGCTGCGTCGAGCGGCGTCTGCAGGAACTGCGCCGAGTAGTCGGAGCAGTTGCTGAGTCGCGTGCGGTAGAGAGACGCGTGCGGGCGGAACTCCTCCTCGGTGCGGTACCTCTTCATGAAGAGGTACACCGAGACCACGCCCGCGCCCTGCCGGGCGGACGTGTGCGTGTGTGTGTAAGTGCATGTGTACGTGCGTGTGTGTGTACGTGCGTGTGTGTGTGCGTGTGTGTGTGCGTGTGTACGTGCGTGCGTGTGTACGTACGTGTGTACGTGCGTGTGTGTACGTGCATGTGTGTGCGTGTGTGTATATGTGTACGTGTGTGTACGTGTGTTTGTGTGTGTACGTGTGTGTGGGGGGGGGGGTGTAGCGATTAGCGCGCTAAGCTCAGAACCCGGCGACCCGAGTTCGTGCGCTCCCTCCTCCCCTCCACCTCATCCCCCCCCCCCTCTTCACCCCCCCAACCCCTTCATCTCCCCCCCCCCCCCTTCTTCTCCCCCTACTCTTCGTCGTCGTCGTCGTCCTCCCCGGCTGCCCCCCCCTCTCTCCTCCACGTCCCTCTTCTCCCTCTCCTCCTCCCCCATCTCCCTCCCTTCTCCTCCCCTCCACCTCACCCCCGACCCCCATCTCCCTCCTCCCTCCTCGCCTCCACCTCACCCCCGACCCCCATCTCCCTCCTCCCTCCTCGCCTCCACCTCACCCCCGACCCCCATCTCCCTCCTCCCTCCTCGCCTCCACCTCACCCCCGACCCCCATCTCCCTCCTCCCTCCTCGCCTCCACCTCACCCCCGACCCCCCATCTCCCTCCTCCCTCCTCGCCTCCACCTCACCCCCGACCCCCATCTCCCTCCTCCGTCCATCCACCTCCTTCCCATCCACCCCCTCCTCCTCCTCACCTCGGTGAGGAAGAACGAGAGCACGGCGAAGTGGAAGGACCAGCCGTACGAGTAGGTGAACGAGGTGGAGTTCTCGCTCGAGCGGTTGGTCACCTCGTCGTTGACGCTCGAGATGTAGAGGACGAGGCCCACGACGAGCGCGAGGCCTGCAGGAGCAGAAGCAGCATCAGCAGCACCATCGTCATCAGCAGAACCATCATCATCAGCAGCACCATCATCATCAGCAGAACCATCGTCATCAGCAGAACCATCGTCATCGTCATCAGCAGAACCATCGTCATCAGCAGCATCATCATCAGCAGCAATAGCACCATCATCAGCAGAACCATCGTCATCGTCATCAGCAGAACCATCGTCATCGTCATCAGCAGAACCATCGTCATCATCACCAGCAGAACCATCGTCATCATCACCAGCAGCACCATCATCAGCAGCAACAGCACCATCATCAGCAGCACCATCATAATCATCAGCAGCACCATCGTCATCATCACCAGCAGCACCATCATATTCATCAGCAGCACCATCGTCATCATCACCAGCAGCACCATCATAATCATCAGCAGCACCATCGTCATCATCAGCGGCACCATCAGCGTAATCAGCAGTAGCATCAGCAGTAGTAGCATCATCAGCGGCACCATCAGCGTAATCAGCAGTAGCACCAGCAGTAGTAGCATCATCAGCAGCACCATCAGCGTAATGAGCAGTAGCATCAGCAGTAGTAGCATCATCATCAGCAGCACCTCGGATTAGCACGCTTGGATATGTACGGTGCGAAAGAAGTTCAACATACATGCATAATCAAGTGAAACACAGAGACAATTGATGGAGGAGGGGGGGAGCGATGATGTGTGCGTGCCTCCCCTAGGTCGACTCAGCCTAAAACGAGTACCTGGTGCGGTGTGTAAACATCACCGCTCGGGATACAAAGACGGCCGTGCGTGGTGTTGTCCACCCACCCCTCCCGTGTGTGCATGTGTGTGTGTTCAATACATTACAATCGTTATCAGCGTCATCACCACCACCACCACCACCACCTTTCACCATCATCGCCAAGTTCGTGACCCGATCAGGGTGACCCCGTCGCTAATTAACAACCAATGACTGCTCTCTTCTCCCCTTAATGGACTCTAATGACAGCTGTTACCCGGCTAAGCGGCGGGGGGCGAGGTGGGTGACGATCGACCGTGGGGGAAAACTCTTCCACCTCTTATTTCTCCCACTCGTTTGCCAAATCTCTGTCGTCTGCCCCCCCCCCCTTTCTCTCTCCCTCCGTGCCCCCACATCTCTCTGTGCTCTCTCTCTCTCTCTCATTGTGTATGCCGCTCTCTCTCTCTCTGAAATCGGACTACTCTCCCCTTCTCGCTCTCTCTTTTTTTACGATCAGTGGAAACAAGAAGATGCTCGGTGTATTCGGCACTTTGCTTCGTTCATCATTTAGTATTTTTTTTAAAAACATTTTTAAACTTAGCTTTATGTAAAACCATCACCTCTCGCTCACTCTCTCGCCCACTCTCTCTCGCCCACTCTCTCTCGCCCACTCTCTCGGTCACTCTCTCGCACACTCTCTCGCACACTCTCTCTCGCCCACTCTCTCGGTCACTCTCTCGCTCACTCTCTCGCTCACTCTCTCGCCCACTCTCTCTCGCCCACTCTCTCTCGCCCACTCTCTCGGTCACTCTCTCGCACACTCTCTCGCACACTCTCTCTCGCCCACTCTCTCGGTCACTCTCTCGCCCACTCTCTCGCCCACTCTCTCGCTCACTCTCTCGCTCACTCTCTCGCACACTCTCTCGCTCACTCTCTCGCACACTCTCTCTCGCCCACTCTCTCTCGCCCACTCTCTCTCGCCCACTCTCTCGGTCACTCTCTCGCTCACTCTCTCGCTCACTCTCTCGCACACTCTCTCTCGCCCACTCTCTCGGTCACTCTCTCGCTCACTCTCTCGCTCACTCTCTCGCACACTCTCTCTCGCCCACTCTCTCGGTCACTCTCTCGCTCACTCTCTCGCTCACTCTCTCGCCCACTCTCTCTCGCCCACTCTCTCGGTCACTCTCTCGGTCACTCTCTCGCTCACTCTCGCGCTCACTCTCTCGGCCACTCTCTCTCGCCCACTCTCTCGGTCACTCTCTCGGTCACTCTCTCGCTCACTCTCGCGCTCACTCTCTCGCTCACTCTCTCGCTCACTCTCTCTCGCCCACTCTCTCGCCCACTCTCGCGCTCACTCTCTCGCTCACTCTCTCGCTCACTCTCTCGGCCACTCTCTCGCTCACTCTCTCGCTCACTCTCGTTCTGCACGCAGCCCTTCTCGCAGTCCGACGGCCTCCGACGGGTAGCTCATAACTGTCTCATCTCTCGTTCTCTATCCTGCCCTGCCAAATCTCTCTCCCTCCCTCCCTCTCTCTCCCATTTATCCCCAATTCCGCCCCCCCCTCCTCCCCCTCTCTCTTTTTTTTTTAAACATCAACAACTCGCATGGGCTTTATTCATAAGTCAAGACAAAACTGAATGTCAAAAACTGCCGGTAAAACATTGGACACATTTTGCAACATTATGGCATTGCACTGTTGACGATATAAAGTTAACTCCAGAAGTGTCAACATCCCTTTCAAAGAAGAACTCCTGTTGATCTTAACTCCCAACAATGATGTCGTTGATGGGAATACGAATGAGTTTCACGAAGAAGCCGATGAAGCCCTTCATGGCAAAGCCAATTGCCGTCGCTATTGCGATCTTCTTAAAATATTTGCGGTCGGGCTTTGTGCAGCGTTTCACGAGCCGGATGGAATCCTTGACGCATTGCCTGCCGGGATTCACGAATGTCACCACCTGGTCCATGATGGATTCGTCTTCACCTGGCCAGAGCCTCCAAGTCCCTGCGTCTCCTTCTCACCGTCTTCCCCTATCTCTCTTTTTTTTCCTTTTTTTCTTTCTTTTCTTTTTCTTTTTTTCCCCATATCCCCCCAAGCTCCCCCCTCACTCCCTCAACTCCCCCCGTCCCGCCCCCCCCCTCTCTTATTTTTCCTTCTTTTCCTTTTTTTTCTTTTTCTTTTTTTCCTCATCTCCCCCCCGCCCCCCCTCTCTCACTCCCTCATCTCCGCCTGTCCCGTCCCCCCCTCTCTCTCTTATTTTTCCTTTTTTTCCTTATTTTTCTTTTTCTTTTTTTCCTCATCTCCCCCCCCGCCCCCCCTCTCTCTCTCACTCCCTCATCTCCCCCCGTCCCGTCCTCCCCCTCTCACTCCCCCTCATCTCTCTCAGCCTCTCTGTCGCTCACTCTGGAATCGAATCCGTCGTTGCGGAATCGATTTCCGATGACCTTTCTGTGATGGCCTCCGAACATTGGGAGGCGGCGGCGGCGGTGGACGCACTCCGACCCTACTTGCATCCAGAATCAAGTTTCCCGGCTGCACTCGCTGCTCGCCAAACAAACACGCGAGGCAAGGCCCCTCTCTCTATTTTTTTTTTACGATCAGTGGAAACAAGAAGATGCTCGGTGTAGTCGGCACTTTGCTTCGTTCATCATTTCGGAATTTATTTATTTTAAATAATAACTTTGCTTTATGTAAACCCCCACCTCTCGCTCACTCTCTCGCTCACTCTCTCTCTCTCTTTCTCCCAGCTGCCCCGTGTGGCCTGTTCTCGAATCTATACCCCCAAGGCAAAAGCTTTCATTAAAAATAATAATAACGACGATGCTGCTGGCTTCTTTAGTTCATTTCTGCAGCGTTCTTTTGAAGGACGGCGTGGATCACAGCGTGGATCACAGCGTGGCTCTGGGAGCGAGCGACCGCGTGCTTCCTCACGACGCCGCTCACGCCGTGAGCTGCGCCTGAGTAGTAGGGACGTCTCGCAGCTGGAAGAGACGCTGGTGATGGTGGTGATGACGGTGATGGTGATGACGGTGGTGATGACGGTGATGGTGATGATGGTGGTGACGGTGATGATGGTGATGGTGGTGATGATGACGGTGGTGATAGTGATGACGGTGATGATGACGGTGGTGACGGTGATGATGACGGTGGTGATGGTGATGATGACGGTGGTGATGGTGATGATGACGGTGATGGTGATGACGGTGGTGATGGTGATGATGACGCTGATGACGGTGGTGATGGTGATGATGATGACGGTGGTGATGATGATGATGACGGTGATGATGATGATGACGACGGTGGTGATTGGTGATGATGACGGTGGTGATGATGATGATGGTGGTGATGATGACGACGGTGGTGATGGTGGTGATGATGATGACAAATGACAGCACAACGAGGTGTTTTATCGTCACGTGGACATTTATAGCGGCCTAATACTCTGAACACGTGGATGTTGATTCTAAATGTGGAGGGAAAAAACCGGTCGACCCAGAGAAAAATCCACGCGACCACTGGGAGAGAGAGACACGCACACTCCAAATATAGAGCAGGCGTCAGGGTCGGGATCTAACCCACGCCCTCCTGCATACCAGGCGAGGTAGTTAACATCTCCTAGCCACCGTGATGATGATGATGAGAGAGAGACACGCAAACTCCAAATATACAGCAAGCGTCAGGGTTAGGGATCGAACCCACGACCTCCTGTATACCAGGCGAGGTAGTTAACATCTCCTAGCCACGGCGGCGTCCTTCGAGGATATCAAACCGAGGAGATGGAGCGATGAAAATTAATTGACGTTCATGGCGGTGCTAGGCGGATTGTGACATCGCGGACCGGAGTGAGATGTGGTGGTGGCTTCAGCCAGCAGTTGATTTCCCATGGCTGATGATGGCTCTGTGTACAGCAAGATACCAAAGACACAGATCCCCCGTATAGCCAGAACAGACTGCTGGGGCAAGTGCTGTTAGCGAGCACCTATGAATGCCGGAACGGCACACGAGGGGGTGGGTGGCCAGCACCACGCTCGGCCGCCTGTGTCTCCCCAGTGGCGAAGATTTACGACACACCGCACCAGGTACTCATTTGCGGCCGAGTCGACCTCGGGGAAGCCCAGGACCGGTTCAGATAATCGTCACTGGGTGTTGGCCGTGAGCGGGAATCGAACCCGGATTGCCGGGTTTATAGCGCAGCGCGCTAACCGCTATACTACCGCTCCACACTACAGCAACACACACACACGCTCGCACACACACACGCACACACACACGCACGCACTCACGCACGCACACACGCACGCACACACGCACGCGCGCGCACACACACACACGCGCACACACACGCTCGCACACACACACGCACACACACCCACGCACACGCACACGCACGCACACACGCACACACACACGCACACACGCACACACACACGCACACACTCACACGCACACACACGCACGCACACACACACACGCACGCACACACGCGCGCGCACACACACACACGCTCACTGATCAGTTGCTCGCGATCACCCCCTACCCCCTTTCCACCTATCTCCCCTCCCCTACCCCGACACTCGCCCTGCATAAAAAAGGCCCCATAGGTCTCCCCCCCCCCCATCTCCCCACTTCCCCTCCCCCCACCCCACCTCTCCCCCCACCCCATGTTACCCAATTAGTTTGTTTTTCCAAAGCACCCCCACCCACCCCACCCCATCAACTCTCAACCGGAGCTAATTCGAGAGAGAGAAACTGGGAATAGAGGGAGATGGTGAGGGTGTGATGTCGTGGAGATGACGTGTTGATGTTGAGGTGATGATGATGATGAGGGTGTGATGTCGTGGAGATGTCGTGTTGATGTTGAGGTGATGATGATGATGAGGGTGTGATGTCGTGGAGATGACGTGTTGATGTTGAGGTGATGATGATGATGAGGGTGTGACGTCGTGGAGATGACGTGTTGATGTTGAGGTGATGATGATGATGAGGGTGTGATGTCGTGGAGATGACGTGTTGATGTTGAGGTGATGATGATGATGAGGGTGTGACGTCGTGGAGATGACGTGTTGATGTTGAGGTGATGATGATGATGAGGGTGTGATGTCGTGGGGATGACGTGTTGATGTTGAGGTGATGATGATGATGAGGGTGTGATGTCGTGGAGATGTCGTGGAGATGACGTGTTGATGTTGAGGTGATGATGATGAGGGTGTGATGTCGTGGAGATGACGTGTTGATGTTAAGGTGATGATGAGGGTGTGATGTCGTGGATATGACGTGTTGATGTTGAGGTGATGATGATGATGAGGGTGTGATGACGAGGTGATGACGAGGTGGTGACGAGGCGATGACGAGGTGGTGACGAGGCGATGACGAGGTGGTGACGAGGCGATGACGAGGTGGTGACGAGGTGGTGACGAGGCGATGACGAGGTGGTGACGAGTTGGTGTCTCACCGGCGAGGATGAAGAAGATGCCCGAGACGAAGGCGAGTGCCGTGCGCTGTGGCCGCACGTGGCCCAGGTTGTTGATGACGAAGCCCAGCAGCATGAGGAGCAGCGCCGCGAGGGGGAACGGCGTGGCGGAGCGCATCAAGCCTGCCGCACACCACACGCAGAGACACACACACAGAGACACACACGGATAGACACACAGACACACAGAGAGACACACAGACACACAGAGAGACACACAGAGAGACACACAGACACACAGAGAGACATACACATGGATAGACACACACAGAGACACACAAACAAGACAAAGATCCCCCGTATAGCCTTAAGAGACTGTAGGGGCAAGTGCTGTGAGCGAGCACCTATGAAGACCGGAATGGTACACGAGGGGATGGGTGGCCAGCACCACGCCTCCCCAGTGGCGATGTTTATACACCGCACCGGGTACTCATTTGAGGCTGAGTCGACCTAGGGGAGGCCCAGGACCGGTTCGGGAATTGAACTCGGGTCGCCGGGTTCGCAGCGCAGCGTAGCGCTAACCACTACACCACCACTCCTCACAGAGAGACACACACACGGATAGAAACACACACCGACACACAGATAGACACACACACAGATAGACACACACACACATGGATAGACACAGAGATACACACGGAGACACACAGATAGACACACACAGATAGACACAGACACGCACATGGATACACACACGGAGAGACACACACAGAGAGACACACACACAGACACGCGCAGGGTAGCAAACGGCTTGTGCGGAGCCCTCTTGCCCCAACAGCCTGCGAAGGCTACACGGGGCTACTTTGTCTTTGCGTGCTGCGTGCTGAGCGGCTCACGTAGCACGTTGGCTGTGGAGTCGGACGTGATGTGCGAGCCGCTCGCCGTGAAGTACTGCACGTTGCTGCACGAGCCCAGGTCCTCTTCTGCAGGGACACGCGCCACGCACACGGGCATAGGGTCAGGGTCAGGGTCAGTGGTAGGGTCAAAGGGTCGGGGGTAATGTTAGGGTCATCGTTAGGGTGAGGGTTAGTGGTTGGGTCGTAGGGTCGGGGGTAATGTTAGGGTCATCGTTAGGGTCAGGGTTAGTGGTCAGGGTTAGTGGTCGGGGTCAATGTTAGGGTCAATGTTAGGGTGAGGGTTAGTGGTTGGGTCAAAGGGTCGGGGGTAATGTTAGGGTCATCGTTAGGGTCAGGATTAGTGGTAGGGTCATAGGGTCGGGGGTAATGTTAGGGTCATCGTTAGGGTGAGGGTTAGTGGTTGGGTCATAGGGTCGGGGTTAATGTTAGGGTCATCGTTAGGGTGAGGGTTAGTGGTAGGGTCATAGGGTCGGGGGTAATGTTAGGGTCATCGTTAGGGTCAGGATTAGTGGTTGGGTCATAGGGTTAGGGTTAATGTTAGGGTCATCGTTAGGGTCAGGATTAGTGGTTGGGTCAAAGGGTCGGGGTCAATATTATGGTCATCGTTAGGGTCAGGGTTAGTGGTTGGGTCGGGGTTAATGTTAGGGTCATCGTTAGGGTGAGGCTTAGTGGTTGGGTCATAGGGTCAGGGTTAATATTCAGTTCATCGTTAGGGTCAGGGCCAGGGTTAACGTTAGGATCATAGGGCCAGGATAGGTGTTAGCATCATGGTTAGGGTGATAGTTCGGGTCAGAGTTCCGCTGCCTCTCTCTCTCTCCCTCTCTCTCTGTCCGCCGTCTCTGTGCCCCGCGAGTTGCTCACGACGCCGCTGTTGTTGCGCGCGACTCGGAGGCGACAATTGGACGCCGTGAAGAATTTCCCTGCGGCCCCATTCGGCGAGACCCGCCAGGGACAAGACAAGCGTCCGAGTCTCCGCTACTTCGGCGCGCGAGAGAGCGGTGACCGCGAGGTCCGTCGTGGCAATCGAAGCCGACGACCAAACGCTGCTTGCGCACGAGTCGTGAGCATCGGTGAGACCATCGCGGCTGAACACGCGGCTCTCATTACTACGACTGCCCCATCCACCCCGAACACTGCCCCCACCCCACACCTCCGTCCCTGCCGCTGCCCCCCCCCCTCTAACACTGCCCTCCCCCCGACACTGCCCCGCCTGACACTGCCCCCCCCCCCTGCGACATTGCCCCATCGACACTGCCCCCCCCCCACGACACTGCCCCCCCCCCACGACACTGCCCCCCCCCGACACTGCCCTTCCCCCCGACACTGCCCCATCGACACTGCCCCCCCCCCCCACGACACTGCCCTCCCCCAACACTGCCCCCCCACACTGCTCACCCCCCCCCCGCGATACTGTCCCCCCGCCACGACACTGCCCCCTCGACACTGCCCCCCCCCAACCACCCCCCCCCACCACCCCCGCCACCCCCCCCCCCCCACCACCCCCGCCGAGGAGCGTCGTACCGGCGAGCGAGCAGACCCGCCAGAGGCCCGAGTGCACGGCCACGTGCAGCCAGCGCGTGCGGTTCCCGTGCGAGAAGAGCGTCTCGTGCGAGTAGAGCCAGAAGTCGGTGCTCACGGCCACGCAGAGCGCGCACAGCCCCAGCACGGACAGGCCGCTGCTCAGCAGCGTCAGAGAGCGGCGGCCGCAGCGGCCCATCGCGGGGGCTACGTGGGAGGGTGGGGAGCGGTGGGACAGCGGTTAGCGCGGCGCTGCTGCGCCACGAAAAGCTAAACGTGGAACGAATACGGCAGCGCTGTCTCGCCTGTTTCAGCATTTTTTTTTTCTCGCTGCGGTTGTTCCGCCTGGCGAAGGATCGCTTGCGTTGCGGTCGAAACGTCGTGCTTTGTTTGGTTTTATTTCTACCCACGTGACTTTAGCGATAGAGCCAAAGAGTATGGACCGAATGTCTCGATTTGAAGTTTTCGTGACCGCGGGAATCCGTGCTCTGTTGGTCTGGACCGGTCCTGGGGCCTCCCCCGAGGTCGACTCGGCCTCGGTGCGGTGTGTAAGTTAAACATCGTCACTTGGGGAGACAAAGGCGGCCCGGCGTGATGTCCGGCCACACCGCGCCGACGCGTGGGCGTGTCGGACTTCATCGGTGCTGCTCGCTGACAGGGCTTGCCGCAAGGCTATACGGGGGATCTTTGTCTTTGCGGGGTCAGGTGACTGGGGGTGAGTGGCACGGGGAGGCTCAGAGGGGCCTGATCGTGAATGGTGGAGAGATGGGTAGCGGAGAGATGGCATGGCAGATGGTGGAAGAAGATGACAGGAGATGGTGATGAGAGATGAGTTGGAGATGGTGGCGAGAGATGAGTTTGAGATGGTGGCGAGAGATGAGTTTGAGATGGTGGCGAGAGATGAGTTGGAGATGGTGATGAGAGATGAGTTGGAGATGGTGATGAGAGATGAGTTTGAGATGGTGGCGAGAGATGAGTTTGAGATGGTGGCGAGAGATGAGTTGGAGATGGAGGGAGAGATGAGTTGGAGATGGTGGTGAGGGATGAGTTTGAGATGGTGATGAGAGATGAGTTTGAGATGGTGATGAGAGATGAGTTGGAGATGGTGATGAGAGATGAGTTTGAGATGGTGGCGAGAGATGAGTTTGAGATGGTGATGAGAGATGAGTTTGAGATGGTGATGAGAGATGAGTTGGAGATGTTGATGAGAGATGAGTTGGAGATGGTGGCGAGAGATGAGTTTGAGATGGTGATGAGAGATGGGTTTGAGATCGTGATGAGAGATGAGTTTGAGATGGTGATGAGAGATGAGTTGGAGATGGTGATGAGAGATGAGTTTGAGATGGTGGCGAGAGATGAGTTGGAGATGGTGGCGAGAGATGAGTTTGAGATGAAGGGAGAGATGAGTTGGAGATGGTGGCGAGAGATGAGTTTGAGATGGTGATGAGAGATGAGTTGGAGATGGTGATGAGAGATAAGTTTGAGATGGTGGCGAGAGATTAATGGAGATGGTGATGAGAGATGAGTTTGAGATTATGGGAGAGATGAGTTTGAGATGGTGATGAAAGATGAGTTTGAGATGGTGATGAGAGATGAGCTTGAGATGGTGATGAGAGATGAGTTGGAGATGGTGATGAGAGATGAGTTGGAGATGGTGATGAGAGATGAGTTTGAGATGGTAATGAGAGATGAGTTGCAGATGGTGATGAGAGATGAGTTTGAGATGGTAATGAGAGATGATTTGGAGATGGTAATGAGAGATGAGTTGGAGATGGTGATGAGAGATGAGTTGGAGATGGTGATGAGAGATGAGTTGGAGATGAAGGGAGATATCAGTGGAGACGGTGGCGAGAGATGAGTTTGAGATGGTGGTGAGAGATGAGTTTGAGATGGTAATGAGAGATGATTTGGAGATGGTGATGAGAGATGAGTTTGAGATGGTGGCGAGAGATTAATTGGAGATGATGGAAGAGATCAGTGGAGATGTTGGCGAGAGATGAGTTTGAGATGATGGGAGAGATGAGTTGGAGATGGTGGAAGTGATGAGTTTGAGATGGTGGCGAGAGATTAATGGAGATTGTGGCGAGAGATGAGTTGGAGATGGTGGGAGTGACGAGTTGGAGATGGGTGTAATAGTTGACAGCAGACGATGGGAAGCGATGTTGGGTTGATGGCGTCGTGTGGAGACGGCGCGGCGAGATGGGGGCAGGCGGGCGTGGGTGGGGGCTGGGCGAGCGAGCGGTGTTGCGGGAGACGAGGGGACAGACTGGGCCGCGTAGGAAGAGATGGAAAGAGGTGGCGGGTGGTGAGCGAGACATGGGCGTAGATGAGAAGCGCATAGGAAGAGAGGGAAATTGGGGAGACGCGGGGAGATATGGGGGGGGGAGGGGGCGGTGGGAGGCGAACTGAGACACGGGGGCGGGGTAGGTGGGGGGGAGAGGAGAGACGCAGGCACGAGTCTCACTCGTAGCTCGAACCCTGACCCTATAACTCACACGTAGCTCGAACCCTAACCCTATAGCTCGAACCCTAACCCTATAACTCACACGTAGCTGGAACCCAAACCCTATAGCTTGAACCCTAACCCTATAGCTCACACGTAGCCCGAACTCTAACCCTATAGCTCGAACCCTAACCCTATAGCTCATACGTAGCTCTAACCCTATAGCTCGAACCCTAACCCTATAGCTCACACGCAGCTCAAACCTAAACCCTATAACTCAAATCCTAACCCTATAGATCACACATAGCTCAAACCCTAACCCTATAGCTCACACGTAGCTCGTCCCCTAACCCTATAGCTCACAACCCTAACCCGAGCTCAGCCCTAACTCCAGCACATAGTCGGAACCCCAAGGCTTTAGCCCTAGACCCTCACCCTGAGTGTACCACCTGTGGCGTAGCCTGGCCGTCGCGGACCCCGATGCATAGAAATTAAATCAAGGGGGGCGGGTGGAGGGGGAGGAGCTGTCCAACTCCCCCACACCCCTCCCCCTCCCCCTTTACCCCCCCAACCTCGCCACACCCCTCCCCCCTCCCCCTTTACCCCCCCTCCCCACCTCGCCACACCCTCTCCCTGCTCCTTACCCCCCTCGCCCCGTGCCCCCTCGCGCCGTGCCCAGTGTCACGCGGATCGGACCCGGCGTGCGCGCACGAAAAAAAATCTATTCCCGACTTCCCAAATCTCTTTTGACCTCCGACGTCACGCGGACGTTCGCAGAAGTGTGTCGCAAACGGCGACCGAACGGTGACACACGCACACACCACACACACACACACACAGAGAGACAGAGCGTAGGGAGAGAGGGGTAGGGAGAGAGGGGGGGTAGAGAGAGGGGGTAGAGAGAGAGGGAGGAGAGCAGAGCGTGACATCTTTCATTTAAACAAGGGAGGGGGGGGGGGGCACATAAAGCAAAGCATTGGGGGAAAACAAACTAAATGATGAACGAAGCAAAGTGCCGACTACACGGAGCATCTTCTTGTTTCCTCTGATCGTAAAAAAAATAGAGACAAAGGCAAAGATCCCCCCTAATAGCCTCGATTGAAATTTGGGACAAGTGCTGTTGAGCGAGATTCTTTCAGAGTCGCGAAAGGGGCGTGGTGGCCAGCAATCTACGCCGGGCCGCCTTTGTCTCCCCGGTCGCGACGTTTACTACACACTGCAACAGGTACTCATTTGAGGCCGAGGCAACCTAGGGGAGGCCCAAGACCGGTTCAGATAATCATCACCGCTGGTGGCCGTGAGCGGGAATCGAACTCGGGTCGCCGGATTCCTTGCGCAGCGTGGCGCTAACCGACGCGCCACCGCTCCCCATACACGATCTCACACACAATCTCATACACAATCTCACCCACAATCTCATACACAATCTCACACACAATCCCACACACGGGGTAGCAACAAAGAGAGAGAGTTAAATGCACGGATGTGCTGGTTTGTTTTTAGTCAACGATTACAGCTGCGTTGATTCAGCACAAGCAGACTCTGAGTCGATTTCGACAGACAATGTCTCATCAGCAGGCAGGCTACGTTGCCTATAAGATCTGGGAATTCGCTATGATGATTATGACGACGATGATGATGACGCCGATGATGCCGATGACGACAACGATGATGTTGACGATGATTATGACGATGATTATGATGATGACGATGATGATGATGATGCCGATAACGACGATGATGATCATGATGACGCCGATGATGATGCCGATGACGACGATGATTATGACGAGGATGATGATGATGATGACGATGATGACGATGATTATGACGATAATGCCGATATTGACGACGATGATGACGCCAATGATGATGCCGATGACGACGATGATTTTGACGTTTATTCTGACGATGATTATGACGAGGATGATGATGATGATGAGGACGACGATTACGACGACGGCTCCACACGTGGCTATTTATGGCTACCGTCCTAGGGAACCGCATGTGTGTCACCAGCTCCGCACACAAAGACAAAGATCCCCCACGTAGCCCCGAGCACACCGTTGGGGCAAGTGCTGTTGTCGAACGCACCGGTAGGGGGTCGGAGAGCACCAGCGAGGGCACTTGTTTAAGGGCTGAGTCCACCTAGGGGAGGTCCAGATCCGGTTCAGGTGTTCGCCACCAAATACGGGTCAACACGCACGCACGCACGCGCGTGACGAGTGTGTGCGCGCGTGCGTCGCAAGCCGCGCTAATCCCCTCCGATGTGTGTTGGGATTAAAACAAACAACAACAACAACCCCGATATCGATATTAATATTCAACGCGCGGTGCTTGTAGAAGAAGGCCTTTGTGCGACGCGAGCGTGCGAGGTGCGCGAGCGTGTGTGTGCGTGATTTCGCGTGGGGGGTGAGTGAATGATTGTGACTGTGCGTGTGTGTGGGACTGTGTGTGTGAGCGAGTGTGTGAGTGTGTGTGAGTGAGTGACTGTGTGTGTGTGTGAACGAGTGGTGCTGGCCACCCACCCCCTCGTTCGTGTACCGTTCCGGCCTTCATAGGTGCTTGCTAACAGCACTTGCCCCTACAGTCTGTTAAGGCTATACGGGGGATCTTTGTGTGAACGAGTGTGTGAGCGTGAGTGAGTGTGAGTGAGTGACTGTGTGTGTGTGTGAGCGAGTGTGTGAGAGTGAGTGTGAGTGACTGTGTGTGTGTGTGAGCGAGTGTGTGAGCGTGAGTGAGTATGAGTTAGTGACTGTGTGTG